TCGAGCTTACTGTAATATATTCACTTATTTAATATTTTCTTCATAAGATATTCAGTATCACTCTTGATATTGATATTATTCAGCTGAGATGACTTCACTCTGAGACATTACTTATAGAGCTTCAAATAGAAAATGTGAAAAATAGAATAAATTGATTTTAATTCTGTAAGTAATTTCAACTTGTATGTCTGCTTATTCACTACTCTTATTACTGAGAAAGATTCTAGTCACTACTCACTGAGCTTCTTACATAGTCTTGTTATCTTGATATTCTTTGCTAAAAGTAGTACTTGATTCTCTATCAAGAACTTCATTAAAAGATGTTTTCAATTATAGTATTTCATCTATCACTTCTAAGCACAGTGAATGCTTTTCACTGTCTTCTTATGAATTTTGTTCAAAAGTTTTAATCTCACTTTTACTTCTGACACTGAGAGATACTTCATTCTCTGTATCTGTCTGATATTCTGACTATCTATTCTCTTCTTTGAAATATCATCTGTGACATCACTGAGTAATGAAGAATTATATTCATAATAAGTATAGAAAGAAGAAATCTTTAAAATTACATTCTTTACATTATTATATATGAATTCAGCAGTTAGAAGATGTTTAGATTAATCATTCTGATAATATGAATAGAATACTCAAAGATGCTGTTCTAGTACCTGATTCTGATATTCAGTCTGATCATCTGTCTGCAGATGAAATGCAGTACTGAGAAGACATCTTATTATAAGATAATAGTAAAAAGCTGATCAGTATTTGCTGATGAAGAGAAATTCTCAATTTATTATTAATAATTTCAGAGTACTGTGATCATGAATAATGATATTTAAAAACAGGTCAGTCAATTCAGAGGCTTTAATCTTTTTATAAGTAGAGATATATCTGATCATCTTTATAAAGCAGTTAACAATGACTAAAATTGAGTCATATTCTTTGACTCTTGTTAACTTCAGCAGATCAACTATAAAATTCATTAATAGATTCTGTCATAAATTCTTTAAAACAGACAGTGATATCAACTCACTGTATTACTTATACTACAGGATCTTTATTCTTTAACAGACATTGTAAGTCTCAATATACTCTTTGACATCTGTTTAGAGCTTGTCTCAAATGTATTTATATTTAGAAGCTTCTCAGTCTTCTCTAATCTGAAGTGCTCTGCATGGGAATTATTATGATAAATTCTCAATAACTTCTGACACACTGCTCTGCTATAAGAAATAAAGACTGAATCATTCAGTAATAGAAGTTCATATTCTTCTAGTTATCAGTGACTTGATTTCTTAGCAGTATTATCTCACTTAGAGTCTGTCTCTTTCAAGTTTAAACTAAATTCTTTCTTCTTCAACTTCTGAATTCAAGCTGCAGTAGAGATATCCTTCTTCTGTAATTTATTAATAAATTTCAAAAGTAGTCAGATTGAAAGATTGTAGACTGTTTCATTCTTTATTAATTCAATAATTGTAAGATGTGATATAAGAAGCTTATAATCTTCAGTGTCAGTTCTCTGCAGAGATCTGAGTTTTCTTTCATCTTCTATACTGAGTCATACAGCTGTCTTTTCAGCACTGTTTCTGAGCTTCAGAGAATCTCATCTCTCTGCAGTCAGCTTCTTCTATAGTGATGACAGAGATTCTTTTATAGAATTCTTCTTCACATTAATGATATTATAATCAGACTGTTTAGATAGTATATCAGCAGAATTAAGCTGATCTGAACAGTATCAGATATAGAAATCATACTCTGAAAGCAGCTTCACTCATCTGGCTTGACATTCTGTCAAGCTCTTTATTGTCAAGAAGTAATGCAGATTTGCATGATCAGTGAGAACTTGTACTGAGTACTTACTACTCTGAAGATAATGTCATCAGATCTTAAAGAATTTGATAATTACTAATATTTTCTGATTATAAGTATTATATCTTCTCTGTGTGAGTGATAACTTCTTGAAGAAGAAGATCACTGATCTTTATTCACAGTATCTTATAGACTCTGTGAAAAAGACTTCTCTCACAGACAATTCATTATCTATTTTCTCAGAAATAATTATTCTCTGATTCTTTCAATATTGAAAGATCTTCAGTGTCAACTGTGAAAAGATTTCACAGATCTTATTCTCAGATATATCAGTCTCACACTGACTGAGTAAGTTAGAGTTAAAGTGATTCAGTATTATAATATCTGTGAAAGCTTGTTTTAATTCTGCAAACATCTGCACAGTGTCTTGAGTGAGAATAAACAGTCTTATTTTTCTGTCTTTTATACTTCTCTTTAACAGATCTGTAAGAGAAGCAGTAATCTGTGAATATATATAGATGAATCATCTGTAGAAATTTGCAAATTCTAGAAACATCTGCATCTCATGATATATTCACAGCACTGGTCAGTTCTTAATAACAGAGACTCAGCTTCTGTTCATTGAAATGTCATTCACTTTAATAATATAATCTAAGAAATTAATCTTCTGCATGTAGAACAAGTATTTTTCAGTGTTTATATAGAGTTAATACTGTCTCAAGTGACTCAACACTTCTTAAACATGAGTATCATATTCTTTCTTCATTTTTGAGAAGATTAGAATGTCATCTAAGTATACTATGCAGGAGACATTGACAAGGCCCTGCAGTGTCTCATTTATATAGATCTGGAAGATGGCTGAAGCATTACAAAGACTAAAAGATAAAACAAGATATTCAAAATTGCTGTACTTGATATGAAAAGCTGTTTTTCAAATATCATCTTTATTAACTCTGATTCTATGATAGACATTCTGTATATCAATCTTTGAGAACATCTTTGCTTCAGATAATTGATTGATTATCTTGTCAATCAACAGTAATGAATAGTGATTCTTAACTATCACTTTATTGAGGCCTCTGTAGTCTACACATAGATGTAGTCTATCATTCTTTTTAAGTATAAAGAGTATAGACATCTCTGTCAAACTCTTTGATAAATGTATTCAGTTCTTTAATTATACTTCTTCAAGATATTTATGCAGAACATTCAATTCTTTTATAGACAAGTTATAAAGAGGCCTGTACAGCACTGTTACACTGTCTTCAAGATAAATCTTATATCACATCTTAGTATCAGGAAACTTCACTGCTTCTCTTTCTGAAAAGACATTCTTAAAATCTGTAAAGAGATATCATGTATATTCATCTTCAATGATGAATACTGCTGCTAATCTTGCAGTGAGAATGATGACTTCTTCATCTGTTCTCAAGTCTCAATTATCTGCTATATAATATATTGACTCAATCTTTTTCTCAAGATTCTTTCAATGAAACTCTTCAGATTCTCTGAA